ATAAATAAGATATTAATGAAAGCAAAACTTAAGCAATACAGAGAGAGAAAGCAAGAACATAATCCTGATCTGGAAACCAAGTGCCTAAATATATGGTAAATGCCTCCTTTTAAAGGCTAAAATTTGAAACTGTTGATTTGACTTGGTGATAATCCTTATCTTCTTATCTAAATAAAACATCATATATAACATCAGAACTGGAACCACTTGTACCATAAAAGTTCTAGGAAATTGTCTTAGCTTTCTAGAAAAAAAATTACGGTAATTTGGATTTTTAGAACTTTAGATATAAGCTGAACACTAAACAATATCTGGGCTGCAGGACATATTCAGACTTCTTTATTGTCATTACAATTTAGACTTGACAACGATCTTTTTAAATCTAGACCTCTAATGAAAGTTGTAGGTCTATGTCTTATCTTTCCATCCATATAAAGTGAACCTAAATCCGAGATCTACAACTCGAGATATGACTCAATTACTGAACAATATTTCAATTTGGATTGCATTAGCATCTCTTTTCTAAGTTTGACCATCTCTTTGTCCTTTCAATTTCAGTACTTAAACTCATCAATCAATCCTTTTATTTATGTGATAGGCCTGTATTTAAGATGAATATTTACCACAAATTAAAGGTATCTTATATTATTAGATATGTTATTATAAAACATGCTTTAGTTAAGGAGTAAGTGATACTTCAAGTGCAAAATAATGATATAAAACCTTGATACAAATATATTTTTAAGTACTAATTAGTGATCATCGAAATATCATCCTAAACATTTTAGGATGTGATAATTGAAATATCATCCTAAACATTTTAGGATGTGTTTGATACACTAAACTTGTTACAACTTTATAAATAACAATGGATTTGAATTGTATAATATATGTCATTTTCTTTTGTTGTCCTTGTAATGGGACAAAATCATATGAAGTTTTTGTGAAAATTCATTTTGATATTTAAAATTTTATCAACAATTTGTTTTGGTGCCTATTGACACGACTAAAATATTTATGTCTTCTCCCAAGTGCAAGAGTGTCGAAGTAATAAATAACCCGGCAAAACTCCCTAAATAAAAAATCCGCAATTAAAACCTTATATGTATTTATGTATTTATTTTAATAAATGAATGAATGATAAATAAAAAGTAAATAATATAAGAAATTGAGAAATAATGATTTTTATCTAGGGTGCTGGATAATAATTTCATCTTGGAAACAACTTGGATAAAAATCAATTATTATCATTTCTAAAATGTACATGAAACACTTTACAACTTATTATATCATAACTTATTATGTACTATCATAATTTCTATCATATAAAAATAATCTCTTTTTATGCCAGATTTCTTAGATTTGCATTCTCAAGCAAAAGATTGAAAGATTATTTAAGGGACCAAAACTCAACAGTTTAAAAGTAAGAGATCAACTTGTCTTATAACGAAAAATACCTGCTACGCAAGAAAGAAATAGCAAGCATATAGGCATGTTCTTTCCGCGTTCCATAATTCACCAATATACTTGTTTATGTTACTATGTCCAATGATACGATTTATTTTGTTTTCTAGTGTGATTAAAAATATTTTTTAATTTTAGATATATTAAAATAATATTTTTGTTTTTAACATTAATATGTTATAACTATAAAAAGATTAATTTAATATATTTTTTTGAATAAATTTTAAGAAAAAAACATATAAAAACATGTTTGTTTTTACATTTTAATTTTTTTAAAAAAAATTTATTTTTTTATTTTTTTACTTCAAATCAATTCTTTTTACTATTTTCTTATTATTTTTATATGTTGATATCTAAAATAAATTTTAAAAAATAAAAAAATATTATTTAAATATATTTATAAACAATTAT